CAGAATATTTATGGGACGACAGGATATTGTTTTTTTTCAAATTTGTACAGATTTGGCCATTTACAATAGAACTAAAGAATACAAACCTATGTTTCTCGACCGGTCCGTCTGGTAAATGATAGTTAGAGAATGTACTTTGCAAATGATGGGACATGTTTTAACCATCGATAGTAATTAACTTTAGAGCTATTGATACTATTTTTTATCCACTGTGGTATGAAATGATCTTTTAAAGTTGTCGGCACATAATATATTAGCCATTGCATACATACGGAAATGGAGTTATCAAAGATGTAAGCAAGCCACAGTTGTATAGAATATTCTAAATATGACATAACCAGTTATAAGAGTATTTAATAGCGCTTTTCAGTTAGATGCGTTTAAGAACGCATGAAGATAATTGGCATGTATAAAAACTGTTTCTAGAGTATACCAGTATGAAATAATGTGTTAGGTATTTGATATTAACAGGGTTGGTTGGCTACGATAACTACGTGTCGTAGCGCTAAGGTGATCGTAACTGACATACCAGAGCACAGACCTACGACTGTCGTAGCGCTAAGGTGATCGTAACTCACATACCAGAGCACAGACCTACGACTGTCGTAGCGCTAAGGTGATCGTAACTCACATACCAGAGCACAGACCTACGACTGTCGTAGCGCTAAGGTGATCGTAACTCACATACCAGAGCACAGACCTACGACTGTCGTAGCGCTAAGGTGATCGTAACTCACATACCAGAGCACAGACCTACGACTGTCGTAGCGCTAAGGTGATCGTAACTCACATACCAGAGCACAGACCTACGACTGTCGTAGCGCTAAGGTGATCGTAACTCACATACCAGAGCACAGACCTACGACTGTCGTAGCGCTAAGGTGATCGTAACTCACATACCAGAGCACAGACCTACGACTGTCGTAGCGCTAAGGTGATCGTAACTCACATACCAGAGCACAGACCTACGACTGTCGTAGCGCTAAGGTGATCGTAACTCACATACCAGAGCACAGACCTACGACTGTCGTAGCGCTAAGGTGATCGTAACTCACATACCAGAGCACAGGCCTACGACTGTCGTAGCGCTAAGGTGATCGTAACTCACATAACAGAGCACAGACCTACGACTGTCGTAGCGCTAAGGTGATCGTAACTCACATACCAGAGCACAGACCTACGACTGTCGTAGCGCTAAGGTGATCGTAACTCACATACCAGAGCACAGACCTACGACTGTCGTAGCGCTAAGGTGATCGTAACTCACATACCAGAGCACAGACCTACGACTGTCGTAGCGCTAAGGTGATCGTAACTCACATACCAGAGCACAGACCTACGACTGTCGTAGCGCTAAGGTGATCGTAACTCACATACCAGAGCACAGACCTACGACTGTCGTAGCGCTAAGGTGATCGTAACTCACATACCAGAGCACAGACCTACGACTGTCGTAGCGCTAAGGTGATCGTAACTCACATACCAGAGCACAGACCTACGACTGTCGTAGCGCTAAGGTGATCGTAACTCACATACCAGAGCACAGACCTACGGCTGTCGTAGCGCTAAGGTTGCTTTGTACAACGGCACCCAGGTATCATCTCTTTTCTACAGATTCGTAAAACACATGCTTATGATACAATATGAACAGAAAGATCAAAGCTGCTTCAGTGGATGCTTCCAAAATATATGGAAATGGATTCTGGCACTTATGTTAACCTAGATCTTCACTGACACTGAATTATCTTCTTATATGTTAAACCGGTGAAGATCTGGATTAGAGTCGACGACTGGTCTTCAGCAATCTATGCTTGTAGTTAGAGGCGACTAACGGGGTCGGGTGATCAGGCTCGCTGACTTGGTCGATACATTTCATCGTATCCCAGTTACATACAGCGATTCCAGTAATATCAGTCAGTGGAGAATCTTGTCAAGACACGAGTATTTAAAGATAGTATTATGACAGGACAATTGCAGAGCGCGGCGTTAAACATCAAACAAATGAAATGCGTCCATTTATTACCAGCGCCTTGAGCATGTACTAGTTTGATAGGTGCGCTATATAAATACTAGTATCCTATATATCAGAACTTGTATGAGTTCTGCGTTCTGCGTTCTGCGTTCTGACAGGAGTAAGTGTTTGCTACCATTCTCCTCTCGGAGACCGTAACTTACCGAGACTTTCCGAGTGAACATGTCCGTGTCTAGAAGGTCACCCTTAAATAGCTAGATGATTCTATTTATATCACATATGAAATATCAGAGTGATGTGAATTTAAACTTTGACTACAAAAAGAGTCATTGACAATTAATTCTTTAGAGACGTCGCACCCGACTGCAAACACTGCATGCTGCGACAGTCATAGACCGAATCAATATGGACTGCAGTTACATACATTAACATTTTGACAAGAATTCAGGCTTGACTTTTAACCGCTCCCTGTTTGGTGTATACACTGAAATGTATCCCCACGGGTAGTACATCCTGCTATATCTCGATGACCAATCAGGACGAGAGGCACACGTCACTGACGAGGTTTAACGTTTATTTCATTCCCACCTCTGACAGTTAATTATATACTCCTATATCTAAGGGGAAAACCATATGGGTACAATTTGTTAAGCCCATTTCTCGTGTCCCCCGTCCTGATGTTGCTGAAATATTGCTAAAAGCGGAGAAACCAATACCCGCTCACAGGTGAAAATGCATTCCAAACAACACAGATATATCATACAAAACAAAGATCCACAATATCGTCCTCCTTATCGATAGTTTAAGGCTGTATTTGAGTCACTGAATTTAGAAAAATATGGAAATAGAAACACAAAATGTTTCAAAATCAGATGTTTATTGTATGAAGGCCATAGGCCCATATACATGAAGTGTACATGGTACAGTATAGGATCTATTAAACAAAAGATTCACATTTAAGTTCTACTCTTGATTGTATATTTGAAACTCGAAATAAGGTTAAAATAGTGAGTACCAATTTTCCAGCTATATGACGGCGGTCTGTTAATAATCGAGTCTGGACCAGACAATCCAGTAATCAACAGCATGAGCATCGATCTGCGCAATTGGGAACCGATGACATGTGTCAACCAAGTCAGCGAGCCTGACCATCCGATCCCGTTAGTCGCCTCTTACGACAAGCATGGGTTACTGAAGGCCAATATTCTAACCCGGACCTTCACGGGTATAAAAGTAGACAAATGGTGACTCATCCGTTGTGAATTTCCAGATTACAACACAAATTGTTTATCCTCTGATCTGTGTTAATGATACCCCCAACAAGTCAAGTCAGAGTGAGTAACCGTAAAAACAGCTTGTCTTGTTAGGCTTTACGGTTTTGAGATGGGGTCGAGTCTTGGTGACTCTAGTTGCCCTTTCTCTGACAAGTCAATCCTGTCCAGTTAGTTGTGTATTGGAGAAGTGAAGTTTACTTAAATATCAAACCTTGTGTATCGTTAACTCTTGTATGTGCATGTGACGTTATGTGGGTGAGAAACGTTTAAGTAATTACGAGCCACGATCCTCGGACCCATCGCTCCTTGACTTTACACAAATTACACACATATTATTCCCCCTTCACTTCTATAGTAACGTTATTTAGATCCACTTGCGCACAAAGTGTCACCCACTTAAAAACATCTGTGATCACATTTAGCATAAGTCATCATGTTAAAAAGGCAACAATAAATATTGATAAATATAGTCGTTTTTAATTACTGTATGGATGTAATTTAAAGGGAAAAAAAATCATCCACTCACAATGATTCAATCTGCACTGATTTAGTGTAACAACCTGGAAAACTTCTCACGGCTGGATTAGCGCCCGAGACACGCCATGGCGACGGGGAGCGGTAATATGTGTAAGTAGCTCGAGAAGAGTACCTCTGAAATCTCAAAGCCAGTTACAAGAATGAGAAATTTCATGCCAAACATGGCGTTCTATCCGTTCCTTGTCTGCTTACATTAGTTTTTACATAAATTCATTCATTTCAGGCTACTCGTATACAGTTTTGTTGTGGTAGCTACTGACTCCTTAGCTTTCTCTGACATATACCCGAGACCCTGTGTAACACACCATTGGTGTAATCCGTACTTCTATTCGCATTGAAACCTTAGTCCACTATCTCTACCTTAGAATTAGACAACCCAGTGGTCCAGAGTCAGTTGTCTCGGTCACATCGCGGGACACCAGTTGATACATTACTCAAACATGCTTTCTCTATTTCTTTCTTTTTTTACCATTTTTATTACACCACGACTCCGGTCAAGTGTTTACATTCATTCATTTATTTCAGTAATAAGGCCTCAGGCCCACGTACATTTTATATGCAAATATTTACAATTGGTGCTGCATTTCCTAAATTTTAAAGATATGACGATCGTAGACTGACAGCGTCTTTCACAAAATTTGCCAGTTTTTTTTAGCAATAAAACATCAGAGGACTGTAGCATTCTTATAAGAGTCTCTCTGTGACTGATAGTGTCCACGTGGAAGTAAGGAAAAAATTTAAGACGTATATCATGATAAACAGGACAAACAAAAATAAAATGAATTTCATTTTCAATAGCATTTAAACTACATAGGATGTTTTTGTCCATACCCGGCCTCCTTCCTGTATTTTGCATTATATCGAGTTCGCCGATTCTGAACAAGGTAAGCATGCGTGCGTATTCTTTACGTAAACTGTTTAGGTATAGCTCGGGAAAGAGGGACACTTTGAACTCTGCATAAAATTTAGTTTGGAACAGTTTGACACCTCAGAATACCATGTTTGTGCATAACAATCTTTAACCCTATGCTTAAATTCATTTATAAAGCGGGGCGGTGGGGTAGCCTAATGGTTAAAGCGTTGGCTCGTCACGCCGAAGACCCGGGTTCGAATCCCCACATGGGTACAATGTGTGAAGCCCATTTCTGGTGTCTCCCGCCATGATGTTGCTGGACTATTGCTCAAAGCGGCGTAAAACCAAACTCAGTCAGTCATTTATAAAGCATCCCACATCACCAACACCTTGGCATTGCCAAACTATTCCAAAACCTAGAGAATACAATTGATGCTTAATATGAGTAACCCAAGTTTCCCTTCCAGCTGCATCTAAACCTACTAACATACTATAACACTGTTTGGGGTACCTGTTTTGAGACATATAAAGAAGTTTGAACCAGTATCTTATACATCTGACATATGTATCTACGTCAATACCATAACGACCACATTCGCCCAATACAGCAACATTGGTAGATTTGGAGCCAACAAATTTACAAAATTTAGCTTGAAAGCGTTCAAGAAACAACCACTGGTGGACTGGTGTTTACCACCCTATACATTACCATGTGGACAAGTGAACAATGGAATATTGTCTCCATGTTGGAAGTAAGTAAAAACTATATATTAACTAACACCAACAACAGTTTTTCGTTGGGATGCAATTGGTGACTTGATGTTAATTGATGATTTGTGATGCAACAAAACGGTTTCAGAATATATTCAAATGACAGTTACTTTACATCTGTGTGTAATTTATTGAGCAAACTACAACATTATAATTCATAACCTTCAGAATCATCGTTTCCTCTTTTACACAATAGGAACATTATTCATTGGTTTCACAAATATGAAGGTGAACTAGAATACTCATAGTCTCGATTACCGTCCAGAACAGATCACCGGGAATCAGTGAAACTAGGGCCTGAAACTAGGGCCTGAATTCTTCATAAATAGCGACAGTTTCAAATATAGTTACTAACTGGGATAAATATAACTACAATAGTATTCAGCCACTGAATTCATTTGGGTCATTGAAATGACGACCTCTGTTCAGGCATTTGCAGCTTCCGTTAACCCTGACCCAGTCGATTTGATATTTGTCCTCGTCGTGGTGAAGCTCGTCTGATATATCTCCCATGTCGCCGTCGTCGCCGTCAACGGTTACTGCCGTCACGTATTCCACATTCTGTGAACACACGCCATATCCGAAGTTGAGAACGTGCCTGAAACAGTAAGGAGTATATAAAATCAAGAGGTGTTCAAGACTCTGAGAACCTGGTGTTGATAAGGAGCAGACAATACCTCAATAGCAGATTTTACCATGTGTTGATTTCCAACTGAATATGCCATAAGTTATGGATACTATAAAACAAACGGAACTGGTCCTTATGCAGCACTCAAAGAATCCTTCTGGGTTTTTTTTTGGTTTTGGGGTTGTTTTTTTTCAAAATATATCTTCTTTAGAAACACATCGCTAAAACACAACTGCTGATGGTCATCTTGCACAGTTATAGTTAAAAAGAATAACATGCACTTTACAACATTGAACAGATTACATGAGTGAAGGTTAAAAAAGCTAATATTATAATTTTATAACACAAATTCAGTTTAAAATCTTCTGTCCCTCAGTTTGATAACATATTGTAACAGAATCTAAATTGATATAGTATAAGTATTAAAAACATCATATAAACTTTGTCAATCATAAGTGTCACCTATTTTCGTTATATCACGATCTATCTGCAAATGTCCATCCATATTTTTAACATTAAAGTAAATAATAACCTTACAACATCATAGACAGTTACCTGGTTCTGAAGTTCACAGATCTGAGGCATCTTTAAGAGGGCATATTCACTGTTGATAGCTATGTTTAATTAAGCACTGAACGTTCGCGGTAGCAGCACTTGTCAGACATGACCTAATTACGACTGTGTGTCACTACGCTATTTACATCCATGAAGGATTCTACTACTGATGTCATTCAGTACTATTATTGTACAGACTTATGTATTTCATGTCTCCAAATGATGTATTTATTCACTGTCTTGAATCATTGTGTATTTTGAGTGTTAACGCCGATGTTTGTCAGGGACTATTTCTTGTGTACACTCCTGCTTCGTGGCTATTTATAGAAAGTAAGCGTGACTTTTGACCCAGATAAACAATGACTTATTACACTTGTTAATGACGATTTTCTGATAACTTTCTTGCTCAGAAGTGTTTTAAAGTGTATTCCATGATGGATACTAATGAAAATTACACTTGATTGAACTGAATAATGAATTTGATCTGTTTGACATTTCTCGGGTTACGGTGACCTGTCAACAACATTTACGTTAGGCTGAGTGACTAATTATAAATTGGATGTCCGTTTTTATATCAAAGCCACATATTCATTATCTGGTATTTTCCTGCATTCTATGGTAGAAATGCCATGCTTTACGATATAGAGGACAATGTATAACCACCTGTATTTCCTACATTTGTACCTGCAATATGACAGTCGTTTCGTGTTTTGACATTTGTTGCCGACAATCATTCTAGGCACTTTGACAGTCTGCTGTCCGTTTTCTCTGTTTGCATTTAGAATCTACCAAATATTTTAGCAAACTTGTTCGTCTGTCAAAATGTCGTCCCGCCGCTTGGCCTGAATATAATCGTTGTCCTTATTCTTGTTATATCACATGTTTACACAAATCTCACTTGTCCATCATGGTTGATCTTTTCGGACACTTTATTTAACATAAGGACAATACCATATGATAAAGGAAACTGATGCTTTTGTAAATTTCACTTGTCATAGAGCCGACCACAAACCAAGATGGCGGCCACTGACGCTACGTTGACGGAAAGATATTGTCCGTTTTATTATAACAAATTGTCTCGATGTCCTGATTATTTCTACTGTGTCCTAATTGTATCCGGACAAGAAGGACAACATAAGGACAATTAGTAGTCACTTACTTGTGTTAGAAATGAAACTGCCTATGCAGTGTTTCTTGTATGCAAGCCATCAAACCTGTGTTCTGATTGGTTGAGAAAGGTCACATGACCTCCTGATGATGCCTATAAATACGATCACTGGTCAAGGCCTGACACACTCGATTCGGATTCGCATTCGGATTCGATTCAGTCGGGTCACTCGATTTAGATACAATAAGACTTTCAGTCTGATTAAAGGCTCCTGCTCATATTTTTACCTGCCACCTCTACTGACTTAGATTTATCACCATAACTGCTTCTAGGTATATATTTTAAGTCAAATTACAATCAATTTAATAACTATATTACATACTCAGTATCATTTCTGCAAGATATATATATATATGCCGAGTAGTGTGTGATATTTATTGGCATCATTTATTTTATTGCATTGCTAACAAAATCCCATCTACATTCTTGCCATTGAAACAAAATTAAAACAAAGTTTGCATATATCAGGGCAAAAGTTGTTTCTCTACTTCATCGTCTCCTTGTGTTATTTGTTTTCCCACGTGCACCCCAAGGGTGTTACAATATGAATGAATAGTATAGATTCATGTCAATAGAAATATTTTTGTAAAATCATGAATGAGAGTTGTTCGAAAATTGTTGGAAATTTTCATCACACATTGGCATGCCAGAGGTTTTATAGTAAACATATCTACGACGAGAAAGCATATTCTTCTGTTTTAATTCTATTATTTTGATTGACAGGCTGATTAAGCATTAACCTCGCGCGATGGTTATTGCTTCAGTTGAAGAAGCATCTGAAACGGGGTTTTGTTTGTCTGTGACCATATGTTCTACAATTATGAAATGGTTTTGTCAAGGGGCAAGAATGCTGCTTATATGGATGTCAGTCAAATACCTACATACTGCTCGTGAAACACGTTTTTCTTAAAGTTTCTGTTCTCTCATCGTAATGTATACTGTGAAGGGTGGTGACGTAGCCCAGTGGTTAAAGCATTAGCTCGTCACACCGAAGATCCGGGTTCGATACCCCACATGGGTACAATGTGTAAAGCCTGTTTTTTGTGTCCCCCGCCGTGATATTGCTGGAGTATTGCTAAAGGCGGCATAAAACCACACTCACTCACTCACTAACTGTACAGCGACCATTCTCTTCACTTACCTGCATACCTCCCTCTTGAAATACTGTTTGTGATCCTTAAACTGGGCTATCCTCTTGACGTGACCAAATATATTAGTCAGGGTATCTTCGGCTCGATAGAATATCTGTCTGTAACATCACGTGACACCGGATTTTGGCAACAAACTTTAGGAAGTTAGATTAACAGTATCAGAGTTACTGTACGAGCAGCATTTGATATTGTTAATCAGAGTTGTTGGTAATTAATCCTTAAACGAACTACAAACGGATTGGAACATGTCAATGAAAGCACAGGCAACAAATCAGTTTCCGATACAAAACGTACAGACTGACGTCTAGACTGACCTCGTTTTGATACAAAATAATATTTCTTAGAGACTGTTACATTCAGTCATTATATTTCTGCAACGATCTTTTCAACTCTCTGTAGTTCCAATTTTAAAAGGGGCGGTGGGGTAGCCTAATGGTTAAAGCGTTGGCTCGTCACGCCGAAGACCCGGGTTCGAATCCCCACATTGGTACAATGTGTGAAGCCCATTTCTGGTGTCCCCCGCCGTGATGTTGCTTGAATATTGCTAAAAGCGGCGTAAAACCAAACTCAGTCAGTCAGTCAGTCCAATTTTAAATCAATATATAAAGAAACATACATATATCTGAAATTAATTACCCATTTGAACACACACGAAGCAGAAACTCACCAAGTCACTCACTCCCAGAGAGTAAAACGTCAACTTACGTTTGACAGCATGCGTGGTGCCAGATATAACCAGAACTTTGTTTTCCAAATCTTGCTGTAGTTTCGTTTAGACAATTGAGTCTACAATTATCAGCCCCCCTGACATAGCTGTTCACTGGTGTGTACCGGGTGGTAAGGTTGACGCGCTGCTGCAGCTGGTTTCTTGTCAGGAACAGATTTGGGAATCGTTCCACAATGCGCTGTTCCGTGGTTTTCTTGAACCTAAAACATGGACTTATAATGTATGGTCCCACATAATGAAATATGAAAAATGAAGGTGAAATATCGCCACGGCTATTCAAGGCGGGGCTGATCTGGATTTCAACTTTTTCTACCAGAACTACGTTTCAGTGTAGAAATGAGCATTTTCATCCAGTAAGTAGCAGCAGGCTTGCTAATGTGGCATGAAGATAACTCACGTCTGAAGTTAACGTTTAGGTAGAACATGGTTAAACAAGATGTCATATCACGAACATTCTTTACATTTAAAGTGAGCGAGTACGTGTTTTAGCAATATTCCAGCAATATCACAGCAAGAAACACCAGAAATTGGCTTCACACTTTGAACCCATGTGGACAATCGAACCCGGGTGTTTGGCGTGACGAGCGGACGCTTTACCTGTAGGTTACCCCACCCACCCTTACATTGAAAGATATGCAGGCATACGTGTATAACAACCGGCCGTGTTGGCCCATGAGATACTAAATACACAGGCATACGTGTATAACAACCGGCCGTGTTGGCCCATGAGATACTAAATACACAGGCATACGTGTATAACAACCGGCCGTGTTGGCCCATGAGATACTAAATACAAACCGGCCGTGTTGGCCCATGAGATACTAAATACACAGGCATACGTGTATAACAACCGGCCGTGTTGGCCCATGAGATACTAAATACACAGGCATACGTGTATAACAACCGGCCGTGTTGGCCCATGATATACTAAATACACAGGCATACGTGTATAACAACCGGCCGTATTGGCCCATGAGATACTAAATACACAGGCATACGTGTATAACAACCAACCGGCCGTATTGGCCCATGAGTACTTGGCCCATGAGATACCGTGTTGGCCCATGAGATAAATACACAGGCATACGTAACAACCGGCCGTATTGGCCCATGAGATACTATATACACAGCATACATGTATAACAACCGGCAACCATGAGATACCGTACGTGTATAACAACCGGCCGTGGTTGGCCCATGAGATACTAAATACACAGGCATACAACCGGCCGTGTAAAACAATAACATATACACAGGGCATTGTATAACAACCGGCCGTATTGGCCCATGAGCGTATATACACAGGCATACCTGTTAACAACCGCCGTTTGGCCCATGAGATTGGATATATAACAACCGGCTTGATCTATGTGGCAAATACACAGGCATACTTATCAGTAAAACAATAACATTGGTCACCACGTGTTGGAGTTAGCCGTTGTTGTATTTGATGATGTGGCAGTCAGTTTTGTCTGAGTTGGTCACCACGTCGTACCGCTGTGTTTATATGTGCAGCCTGGTTGAGTATTTTTCGAGAGACACCACTGTGGAGCATATGTTTTGGAACCTTTCGGTCAGGGTTCCTATGGACACTCTCTTGGCCTGCTGTGATTGTCTGGACGAGAAGAAGAAGTAGTGGTCCTCGAATCCAATAATTGATCATTTTCACAACATTATCAGCATTTGTACCAAAATTCCGCTTTGAAAAAATGGTGAAACTGAAATTAAGGTTAGCCCTATATTCATTAATGCTTAATGTAATGCATCATTATTCGGTTCGAGGAAGATGTTAGCCTGTTTAACCCTTTTCATGCCAATGTTCCCATATGGGAACATGTCATAAAAGGCTTTGTAACTTTTTTATGCGTGAAGATAAATTAATAATTTTTTAACCATATTGATCTTAAGATACTTGCCAATGTTCCAACTCTCTAAATCAAATGCTTGATTGGCATTTTAGAAGATGATATTTGATGAACATAGAGATTTTTTCTGGGTTACATCTTCTTTTTATTCTCGAGTACAACGTTTCAGGGCTTGTTCTGGCCCCATCATCAGGTAAACTGAACAGTAACTGTTAACTCTGGCCGTGACGTCACAATGCTTATGACGTCACAATGCTATGACGACGCAATACATGTGGTGGTCAATAGATACAGATGACATGGCTCATAGAATACATGTTATTATGAATATATAAGATGTCATTTACTGCAAAATTAATGGATCAATTTAGAACTGTGCAGATACTTATACAAAATTGTTGATTGAATTAGAAATGTACAGAGACGTATTTATAAATGTATAGAATGTAAAGTAATAGCAGTGTATACATAGAAATTATGCTTTATACATGGGAACAGTGACGAGGGTAGGGTATTGTCTTATTGTTTTATGTACCATGCATTTGGGAGGTAGACACCCTGGTCCCTGTTTATTGCTGGTTTTGTGCGTTTGATGAAGATAGCTTCAATCAACTTGCGTTTACGCCAGGCACTGATGTTTTTTGAGAGGACTTCAGTTTCCCAGTCAATTTCATGATCGGGATTATTCATAATGTGTTCGGAAACTGCAGATTTTAGATCTGATTTGTCCACTGAAGTTTTGTGCTCTTTCACTCGTGTAGCTACTGGTCTGCCTGTCTCACCAATGTAGGTGACATCTGAGCTGGCGATGAATTCATCATTTTGAACAACACCATTGTTTTCAAGCTGCACGGCATATCTTTGTCTGCTTGCAGATGTCATCGTTATACCAGCCACAGTGAGGACGAATGGCAACAGAACTAGACTACAGAGGAGCATGCTTATCCAGTATTCGTGATAAGCAAGTAGTAAACACATCAGTCTAATCATCAACTCCACAAATATCAGAGAGTGACTGAAGCAGCTCAGAAGATCCATTGTCATTGAAAACTGCCTAATGTCTATATTTCAAGCCTTCCTGGACCTAATTTCTTTTCTCACTTGCTTAGGTTTAGTAAGTTTGACAGAGCACTTAATAGGTGAATGATCAGATATCTGTTTGTCACTAACATCAACGACATCCAGAATATCACACCTATCTTTGGTTATGACTAGGTCTAGTGTATGACCTGATCGATGATTTGGACCAGACACGCGCTTTAGGAGATTGATAGACACACAGAATCGACATGGATACTGAAATCCCCAAGTAGAACCAGATGACCTGGCTGGGCATAAGAAGAAGAAACACTTACACATGAATCGACAAATTTTGCTGAAATCCCTTTCCAGCTGCGTTAGAAGGTAGCAATCAATACCAATCTACTGCAAGCATAAGAAGAATTTATGTGATTGTCTAACAAACATTTCATTACCTGATTTTCCCGAACATTCCTGCATCATCGGTTTATGTGATTGTCTAACAAACATTTCCAGCTGCGTTCCCGGAACATTCCTGCATCATCGGTTTATGTGATTGTCTAACAAACATTTCATTACCTAGCTCTTCCCGGAACATTCCTGCATCATCGGTTTATGTGATTGTCTAACAAACATTTCATTACCTAGCTCTTCCCGGAACATTCCTGCATCATCGGTTTATGTGATTGTCTAACAAACATTTCATTACCTAGCTCTTCCCGGAACATTCCTGCATCATCGGTTTATGTGATTGTCTAACAAACATTTCATTACCTAGCTCTTCCCGGAACATTCCTGCATCATCGGTTTAAACGTTTTGTTCACTAAATTTCTAGAAATAAAAGATGTGTTGCAAAAATATAGTTTTGTTTCATTTTTCACGATGATCCTGCCAATGTTCCCATATTGGAGTATACCGGCACCTCTGGAACCGTTTGTGATATCACTATGAAAATTTGGATTTTTCTTAGTTACACAATTATGAGATTTGCCTGTAAATTTAAAGTGTTTCTGATCTAGTACCGGTATGATAAACGTTAAAGCCATGGAAGCAAATGTTATACCTTCGTCACTGTCTGACACTTTTGGTTTGGAAATCAGGTTGATGTCCAACAGTCAGGTATGCATGGTTACAGGGATCTAAATGACGCATAGATGCCATAAGAACCTGATGGGCGGTGGGATCCTGATAAACGTTCGTACGAGGGCCCGGGTTTTCTTTCCCAAATGGGAACAACTTGTGAAGCCAATTTTTGTTGTCACCCTCCATGATATTACTTTAATGATAAAAGCAGCGTCAAACTATTCTCTCTCACCCACTACTGGACTATTTGTCTGAGGTTATGTTGTAAGTGAGCAGGTTAATGTGAGGCTTCCATACATTGTATGGCAGGGGATCCCGGTGGACCACTGAAACGAAGCATCTGCTTGAATTACTGCAGCTCACCCTACCTCACGTACTTGTACGCGAATCCAGAGGTAGTTGGATGGCGTGCAGAGGCCGTACTTGGGATTCATGTTGTCGAACGTTTTAAAGATGATTGGTTATTAACCCAATAACGCCTTATTTTATAGATTTTTCAACTTCCGTGGGCAAACTGCTACCCCTCTTTTAAAATAATGTATATGCGTGGCACCTACACAAGATCCTACGACTGTCACCACTACGGTAGTTAAGACCCGTGACAATTCAGGATAACAGTAAAACTCCACAGCAACACATGCTTGCCACAAGAGACAGTTCAATGGATTGCATGGTCAAGATAACAGTAAAGCTCCCCAGCATCACATGCCTGCCACAAGAGACAGTCCAATGGATTGCATGGTCAGGATAACAGTAAAGCTCCCCAGCATCACATGCCTGCCACAAGAGACAGTTCAATGGATTGCATGGTCAGGATAACAGTAAAGCTCCCCAGCATCACATGCCTGCCACAGAGAGACAGTCAATGGATTGCATGGTCAGGATAACAGTAAAGCTCCACAGCATCACATGCCTGCCACAAGAGACAGTCTAATGGATTGCATGGTCAGGATAACAGTAGAGCTCCCCAGCATCACAAGCCTGCCACAAGAGACAGTCCAATGGATTGCATGGTCAGGATAACAGTAAAGCTCCCTGGCATCACAAGCCTGCCACAAGAGACAGTCCAATGGATTGCATGGTCAGGATAACAGTAAAGCTCCCCAGCATCACATGCCTGCCACAAGAGACAGTCTAATGGATTGCATGGTCAAGATAACAGTAGAGCTCCCCAGCATCACAAGCCTGCCACAGAGACAGTCCAATTGATTGCATGGTCAAGATAACAGTAGAGCTCCCCAGCATCACAAGCCTGCCACAAGAGACAGTCCAAAGGATTGCATGGTCAGGATAACAGTAAAGCTCCACAGCATCATAAGCCTGCCACAAGAGACAGTCCAAAGGATTGCATGGTCAGGATAACAGTAAAGCTCCCCAGCAACACAAGCCTGCACACAAGACAGTTCAATGGATTGCATGGTCAAGATAACAGTAGAGCTCCCCAGCATCACAAGCCTGCCACAAGAGACAGTCCAATTGATTGCATGGTCAAAATAACAGTAGAGCTCCACAGCATCACAAGCCTGCCACAAGAGACAGTCCAAAGGATTGCATGGTCAAGATAACAGTAGAGCTCCACAGCATCACATGCCTGCCACAAGAGACAGTTCAATGGATTGCATGGTCAAGATAACAGTAAGAGCTCCACAGCATCACAAGCCTGCCACAAGAGACAGTCTAATGGATTTCATGGTCAGGATAACAGTAAAGCTCACAGCAGCACATGTTTGCCACAAGAGACAGTCCAATGGATTGCATGGTCAAGATAACAGTAAAGCTCCCCAGCATCACATGCCTGCCACAGGAGACAGTCCAATGGATTGCATGGTCAGGATAACAGTAAAGCTCCCCAGCATCACATGCCTGCCACAAGAGACAGTCTAATGGATTGCATGGTCAAGATAACAGTAAAGCTCCCCAGCATCACAAGCCTGTCACAAGAGACAGTCCAATGGATTGCATGGTCAGGATAACAGTAAAACTCCACAGCATCACAAGCCTGCCACAAGAGACAGTCAAAGGATTGCATGGTCAGGATAACAGTAAAGCTCCCCAGCAACACAAGCCTGCCACAAGAGACAGTCTAATGGATTGCATGGTCAAGATAACAGTAGAGCTCCCCAGCATCACAAGCCTGCCACGAGAGACAGTCCAATTGATTGCATGGTCAAGATAACAGTAGAGCTCCACAGCATCACAAGCCTGCCACAAGAGACAGTCCAAAGTTGCATGGTCAAGATAACAGTAGAGCTCCACAGCATCACAAGCCTGCCACAAGAGACAGTCCAAAGGATTGCATGGTCAAGATAACAGTAGAGCTCCACAGCATCACAAGCCTGCCACAAGAGACAGTCCAGATTGCATGGTCAGGATAACAGTAAAGCTCCCCAGCAACACAAAGCCTGCCACAAGAGACAGTCTAATGGATTGCATGGTCAAGATAACAGTAGAGCTCCCCAGCATCACAAGCCTGCCACGAGAGACAGTCAATTGATTGCATGGTCAAGATAACAGTAGAGCTCCACAGCATCACAAGCCTGCCACAAGAGACAGTCCAATGGATTGCATGGTCAGGATAACAGTAAAGCTCCAGAGCATCACAAGCCTGCCACAAGAGACAGTTCAATGGATTGTATGGTCAATATAACAGTAAAGCTCCACAGCATCACAAGCCTGCCACAAGAGACAGTTTAAAGGATTGCATGGTCAGGATAACAGTAAAGCTCCACAGCATCACAAGCCTGCCACAAGAGACAGTCCAAAGGATTGCATGGTCAGGATAACAGTAAAGCTCCCCAGCATCACAAGCCTGCCACAAGAGACAGTCCAATTGATTGCATGGTCAAGATAACAGTAGAGCTCCACAGCATCACAAGCCTGCCACAAGAGACAGTCCAAAGGATTGCATGGTCAAGATAACAGTAGAGCTCCCAGCATCACAAGCCTGCCAAAGAGAGACAGTTCAATGGATTGCATGGTCAAGATAACAGTAGAGCTCCACAGCATCACAAGCCTGCCACAAGAGACAGTCTAATGGATATCATGGTCAGGATAACAGTAAAGCTAGCAACACATGCTTGCCACAAGAGACAGTCAAAGGATTGCATGGTCAAGATAACAGTAGAGCTCCACAGCATCACAAGCCTGCCACAAGAGACAGTTCAATGGATTGCATGGTCAAGTTAACAGTAGAGCTCCACAGCATCACAAGCCTGCCACAAGAGACAGTCCAAAGGATTGCATGGTCAAGATAACAGTAGAGCTCCACAGCATCACAAGCCTGCCACAAGAGACAGTTCAATGGATTGCATGGTCAAGATAACAGTAGAGCTCCACAGCATCACAAGCCTGCCACGAGAGACAGTCTAATGCATGGTCAGGGATAACAGTAAAGCTAGCAACACATGCTTGCCACAAGAGACAGTCAATGGATTGCATGGTCAAGATAACAGTAAAGCTCCCCAGCATCACATGCCTGTCACAAGAGACAGTCCAATGGATTGCATGGTCAGGATAACAGTAAAACTCCACAGCAGCACATGCTTGCTACAAGGGACAGTCCAATGGATTGCATGGTCAGGATAACAGTAAAGCTCCCCAGCATCACATGCCTGCCACAAGAGACAGTCCAATGGATTGCATGGTCAAGATAACAGTAAAGCTCCACAGCATCACATGCCTGCCACAAGAGACAGTTCAATGGATTGCATGGTCAGGATAACAGTAAAGCTCCCCAGCATCACATGCCTGCCACAAGAGACAGTTCAATTGATTGCATGGTCAAGATAACAGTAAAGCTCCCCAGCATCACATGCCTGCCACAAGAGACAGTCGTATCCAAAAATGCTTATCTAATCCCAATTCGTTCGTATCGTCAACTGGAGTATTTAGGAAATAGTCCTGCTGTTCTACTCAAAGAGGTTCCTTTGTGAAAAATCTACGAAGGATTGGTAATGACGAGGGTGCTAACTCACCAAAACCCCTGTTTTCCAAGAGAGTACAAACTGACCTACCCTCCTCCTAGGTACTGTTTTCTAATGATGAAATCGCCAACTATCCAAAACTACTATAGTTTATAATATCTACTAAGGAGAATTCTACTCACCAAAACCTCCTTCCACAGAATGTAGCCTGCCAACGACAACGTTGCTAGCAAGAAAAAGATGGCAACGACAACCTGAAAGAGACACCGTTGAGGGTTGCATGGGGCATTACACGCAGAACATTTCATTGACAGTCTATATGGTCAATCAGAAGTCGAAGATACTGTTCACTATTCACGAGCGACTGAGGTTAAACTGGGCGTGGCAATGTTGGTTCTGTTGTCGCGTGAACAGTTCTTGAACTGAACAGATGGTTATATAAACATTATGTATTTGATGTTATACAGTTTTACAAATCGATAATGTATAATCACTATACCTTGAGAAGACAAACCTGGTTCACATGACGGGTGGATTAAGACTTGCTTTGGTTTGTTTGTTGAATGCATTTATTTATTTATTTTTTTATTTATTTATTTATTTTTTTATTTATTTATTTATTTATTTATTTATTTATTTATTTATTTATTTATTTATTTATTTATTTAAATGTACATATTTTTCTTGGGGGGGGGTGGGGGTTAGTTTGATGTTTGAAACTTTTATGGGTTGTATTGCTACACAGTTCTTATAGGATATCCTCACTTACTGTTATGTGGCAGTGTGTGTGGAGGGGGGTAGCCCGTTACGCTGAAGACCGGGGTTCCATTCCCCACATGGGTACAAAGTGTGAAGTCCCCCGATGTGATATTAATTACTGGAATATTGCTAACAGCGGCGTAAAACTAAACTCACTCACTACTCTAAAGCCAGAGGTACGTACAGCTGCTATAAACGGGCCGACAGATGCTAGACAGATGTCATGTACTGTAATCAAGCTTCACGTCGTGTGTGACATGCTAGTGCCATGTTGTAGCCACATGACATTGTGGACCGCCTCCGTGGTGTAGTGGTTAGAGCGGAAGGTCGCGGGTTCGATCCTCGACCGCGTCATACCAAAAGACGTTAAAATATGGTACTTGTTGGTCCCTGTCTGGCGCTCGGCATTAATGGGTACAACAAGGACTGGTCGGCTCGGAGTCAGTATAATGTGTCTGAGTGAGGTATTCATGCTTCACTGCGGCATGGTATCTCAGTGGGCTAGCACTATAAAACCAGCTTAAGTCTGGGCTAGTACAAGCAGCCGCACATACACATACACACGCATGCACATCGTCATATGAGCGAAATATTCTCAAGCACGACGTAAAACCCAATTTCACCTCACCTCACCTCACATGACATTGGGGGCGGTGGGGTAGCCTAATGGTTAAAGCGTTGGCTCGTCACGCCGAAGACCCGGGTTCGAATCCCCGCATGGGCACAATGTGTGAAGCCCATTTCTGGTGTCCCCCGCCGTGATGTTGCTGGAATATTGCTAAAAGCGGCGTAAAACCAAACTCAGTCAGTCAGTCACATGACATTGTGTGCTGTAAACTCGACTCGAAGCGCAAGGCGATGAAGCGTACGTAATATACCTGCTTCCGATCATATTGTTGATAACGGTTGTTACTGCATATAAAGATTACAAGATCCTTCTCTGGCAAATTCGATGGTACATTACGATTTGTCATAGCAATATCGAGGTTGAATATATATATAAACGGCAGATTCATTATGATCTACATATGACATTCACTGTGTATGACAACAGCCAGAATTATAACAATATATGGGCGCACATATATATGTTTCTATAGCGGAAAAGGTATTTTGGTGCTCGTTATGAGTCGCGGACACATTTCTGTTCCATGGTTTTGAAACGGCCCTATAAAACCGTTTTAATTCACATAACGTTTTCCACATTGTACTAGCTTTGATTCTGATCTTTGCGAGAAAGTGCAAATATCTCTGACAAAAATCGCGTGCAATTATTAAACTCATCGTAAGGAAATCAAACAGTAACGAGTATGTCGAATACAGGCCCGCAGGAGAGGTTAATGTTATAAGCATCCACTCATTGTCAAACATCCACATTAACTGATGATCAAGTGAGTGAGTGAGTGAGAGAATTTAGTTCACGCCGCTTTTAGAAATATTCCAGCAATATCACGGGACACAAGAAATGGGACTGAGAACAAGAGAGAGGTAATGTAAATGAGGTAAATGAAAATTGAAAGAACTAATAGTCATCAGAAGTTGTGTGTTCTGCGGGAAATGTTCCTTTGGGTTGTTGTTGTGGTGGTGGTGGTGGTTTTCAAAGCTTTAAATCAAATTATTTTAGTGTCGAAGAGCATTGTAGCCTTAGCGCCAGAACAGAACATTTCGGGGTTATAATATCGCTAACTTATGATGTCTTCAAATAAAAATAAGAGCTGTGCTGAAATTAACTAAGGTGTATAGATTCTTTGTATTTTGATAAACGGTAGTGGACATTTTTATGTCGGGAACTCTAGACGTAGCTACTAGGTATGGGCTGATAGTCACTCTTGTCTCGGACATAAAGTTCTAGACATTGGTATGGGTTAGTGGACATGCTAGCAACGGGACATCTGGACTTTGATATGGGTTAGTTGACATTCTAGCACCGGGACATCTAGACTTCGATATGGGTTAGTGAACATTCTAGCTCGGAAAGTCTATAGACTTTGATATGGGTTAGTGAACATTCTAGCCTCGGGACATCTGGACTTTGATATGGGTTAGTGAACATTCTAGCCTCTGAAAGTCTATAGACTTTGATATAGGCTATAGGTGACATTCCTTGTAAATATGATGTACCCAATGAAGTTCGTATTTTCCATGGAGAGGTGTTACAAATAACTCTACAAAAGGAGTGTTTACATTATCACAAATCCACAAATAGCACACACAATGTGACGGAAGGGGGAAGTCAATACCGACCCATTGACTGAATACAGGGCTGGTAAACACCTCACCTCGTACATCCTGTTAACTCAGTGCATTTAACTACGTTAGCTTATCTTTATGCATTTCAATTTTAGAATAACCGTTTGTTTAACGGGATTGTGATGGTGTTATGGCTTTAGGGCGACGTGGGCCTATTTGCGCCCAACACATTGACTTGACTTGATATGATTCACAAGGTATTATATCGCAAAAGAGAATCGTTAAAATAACATACGGAGGCGTCAGCATTATTAATATCCATTTGAATTCACATACACAAATAAATTAATGATGGGGAAATAGAAAAGACATTAGAATATCTTCTACTTCTTATAAGGGATTAAAACCTAAAGTATAAAGTTGTTTACGTGTATGTGTGCGCGTGCGTGGCTGCCTCCCTGCCTGCGTTTGTGTGTGCGTGCGTGTATCGCAGTTGTCCAGGTATATTTTCTTGTATCAACCCCTTAATCAATACGTGTCTAGTCAAATCTCAATATGTGTAGTTAGTAAGTAAATATACTGACATTTCCTTTCATATGTGAAGTGCGCATTTCTTAAGACATATCACTTATTGAAAATGTTAACCAATGAATTTCTTTTACAGGCGATTGTCGTCAGTTCTATTTTTAATCCTTTAAATCCAAATCGTTTTAAACCCGCACGTTAAAATACGTGTCGATGGTACCCCATCACTTTATTTAAATCTGTCTTGTATAGTGACATATGAAATAGCAAATATAGGCATACGTTTGTATATATATAGTCGTCATGCTTTGTTGTACTAAAACGTAATGCACTTTACTCTGAACAACGCTCGAAAACAATTATACGGCAACCTACCCATAGCTTCGACGTTGGTCGGTTCTCAGGCATGACTGCAATAAAACACAAGTACCGTATAAAGACAGAGTTGACAGTTTAGTTCAGTTGGATATCTGTAGATAATGCCGCACTCATCAGTGCTTGGGTATCCCCGTCCAATGTTTCCCATACAATCCATTAACATCACCAATGCTTGGGTATTTCAGACCTTAGTTTCCCATACAATCCATTAACATCACCAATGATTAAAATGTTGGTATTCTAGTCCTTAGTTTCCCATATAATCTATTATCATCATCCGTGATTGGGTATTTCAGACCTTAATTTCCCATACAATACATTATCATCACCACTGCTTGGGTATTCTAGTCCTTAGTTTCCCATACAATCAATTATCATCATCCGTGATTGGGTATTCTAGTCCTTAGTTTCCCATACAATCCATTATCATCATCAGTGATTGGGTATTCTAGTCCTTAGTTTCCCATACAATCCATTATCATCATCAGTGATTGGGTATTCTAGTCCTTAGTTTCCCATACAATCATCATTATCATCATCCCATACAATCTATTATCATCATCAGTGATTGGGTATTCTAGTCCTTAGTTTCCCATACAATCCATTATCATCATCAGTGATTGGGTATTCTAGTCCTTAGTTTCCCATACAATCCATTATCATCATCAGTGATTGGGTATTCTAGTCCTTAGTTTCCCATACAATCCATTATCATCATCCGTGATTGGGTATTCTAGTTTTTCCCATACAATCCATTATCATCATCAGTGATTGGGTATTCTAGTCCTTAGTTTCCCATACAATCCATTATCATCATCCGTGATTGGGTATTCTAGACCTTAGTTTCCCATACAATCCATTATCATCATCAGTGATTGGGTATTCTAGTCCTTAGTTTCCCATACAATCCATTATCATCATCAGTGATTGGGTATTCTAGACCTTAGTTTCCCATACAATCCATACAATCCATTATCATCATCCATTATCATCATCAGTGATTGGGTATTCTAGTCCTTAGTTTCCCATACAATCCATTATCATCATCCGTGATTGGGTATTCTAGTCCTTAGTTTCCCATACAATCCATTATCATCATCCAATGATTGGGTATTTCAGACCTTAGTTTCCCATACAATCCATTATCATCATCAGTGATTAAAGACCTGTTCCCATACAATCCATTATCATCTAGTCCTTAGTTTCCCATACAATCCATTATCATCATCAGTGATTGGGTATTCTAGACCTTAGTGGTTAATTGTGTAAATGTTTCTACGTCAAAACTGTCCGAATTCGTTAAGAGTATATCTGTCTATTTTCTCACTGTATACAACATTTTCATGTTGTCGTTTGATCCCCTTTTGATTCTAGTGTAACTATAACTGTTTGGTTTCTAGTTAGTGTATATCATACGCTAAAGAAACACCATCCACATTTAGTGATAAATACCCCACCGAATCACCCACAATAAACCTACCTTGAGATGTGTATTCGTTCTTTCCCTGTAGCGTTAGTGAAACGGTCGCAAACTACGCAGTGTCTTATACATCATCATCCGGGGTAAGGCACCGAGCAACTTGAATCATTCCTTGTACTGTCTGACAGTGGAACCTCAAAAACAAGGGAGGTAACCGTTGAAGAGTAACTCCATGTTCTGATGTTTCTGAAATGCGTCTTTTGTTAACAGAAGCCTTTCATATTTACTGAACATATTTAACTATGTCGAGCATCTACTATCAGCTGCCACTGGGATACGGACTTATATTCAGCTAACCTGTCAGTTTGGTGGGGTGCAGTATGTGGGTGTGTACTGACATCGTTGAAAAGAGGAACATGGTTTTCCCTGAATTCTGAAGGCATAGACCTTGAACCTACCACTTGTAAGACGTGCGTGTTGTCTCAATCAAAATTACGGCAAAACAAGAGAAACAGAGGGTCGGTTTTATATCGTTACAGTTATTATACTGGTAAATTACCCACAAGATGTTTTACTGAAAAATGTAGAAAAGATTTGTTTCTTGATCTTAAGAAAATACGTCAATTCAAGCGTTACACAATACCCAGTCACATATGGCTATGGGAAATACGTCATGCATACTGCTCATGTATTAATAGGGATAGGGTGTCACGTGTGATCTGTATATGTCATTGGAGGAATATACCTTGTGAAAAGTTGGGTAGTGTGATCTCTTAACATGCCGCCATCATGCAACAACAGTAAAGGGCGTGTGTTTGGCGTGGTCCTCTATCATGACCTGGGAATATAGGTATATTCTGAATGAAAAACAATCCAGATTATTATTTTATAAACGTCCACACAGATCTATTCAACATGAAATAAACATCGAAGAAAATATAGATTTTAGACTAGAGACGTGTCTGGTATAATGAAAGGTTATGTTCGGCTATAGCAGGTGTAAGGTAGTCTTAAAAAACACATTAGTGGGTGAGATCACGGCAGGGAAACTCGGTAAACAGACACACTGGACGGTCGCTATGGCCGCGAGTGTTGGATGAGGAGTGGGGGTCAAAGTTAAATTCTTTCACGGAGCTCACAGGTGACACTGTGTGTTTATACAAGGAACAAAGGATGGTGATAGAAAAAGAGGTGAGGTGAGGTGAAATTGGGTTTAACGTCGTGCTTGAGAATATTTCGCTCATATGACGACGTGCATGCGTGTGTATGTGTATGTGCGGCTGCTTGTACTAGCCCAGACTTAAAGCTGGTTTTATAGTGCTAGCCCACTGAGATACCATGCCGCAGTGAAGCATGAATACCTCACTCAGACACATTATACTGACTCCGAGCCGACCAGTCCTTGTTGTACCCATTAATGCCGAGCGCCAGACAGGGACCAACAAGTACCATATTTTAACGTCTTTTGGTATGACGCGACCGGGGATCGAACCCGCGACCTTCCGCTCTCGATAGAAAAAGAAGGCGAGAAGGTGGGAGCCTACACGTCACTGTTATATACATGGACTCCAGTCTCCAGAGTATGGGGCTGAATCCCACGGATCATTTCATCCAAAGATTTAGATTCTTAAATTAGCTTAACTCATTAAGTATATTTTACGCCGCATTTCTGCTTTACGCTGGCCAAAAACGGAGAGCGGACTCCAGTAACGTTCTCATGTGGGGAATGAGAACCGGTCCCGGGGTTTGACCACTACCCACTGCTCCTCCTTGAAGACAATGAAGTTTGAGGGTACAAAATGTATGTCGGAGACCACAATAATTTTGATAAGCGATGGTTGAATATTGGTGAAGAGTTTGCGGCAATGGGTCCAGGCATACAACTTGGATGAATTAGTGAGCCGGTTAAAAATTGGTACTTAAGGGAGCTGGACGTTTACGTCTACCACGAGATGAACCAGTTTAGACCCTTGCATGGTTAAGGGGGGCAACTCGGCAACAGTTGATAGATAACATTTGATGGTGTACCTTGTAATACGGGGAGACAGGTTTGTTAAAAGATATAGCTAGAAACAGAGCTTGCAGATAAAGAAATTTAAACCAAAATTGTGTAGAAGGTGTTCTCTATCCGTTGTTCAAATGAAAATGGCATTAGTGGTGTGACGATTCATCGATACGCATCGATGCATCGATCCATCGGCCGCCGATACAGTGAATCGATACAAAGTTTAACATTGTCGTAAATCCCAATACGATACTTCAAATGGACCACGATACATCGATGTTTAGCTTTGAATATTGCCGAATCGCGATATCTGTCAAGAATAAAGACTTACTTTTGTTTGATGATTAAAATATATGGTTACTTATTTTCCCTTTATAAGTAAACGCTTTCTCGGAAATCCATGCGTCAAGAACTGTGTCAGACATAGCGCTCGCATGTTATTAACATTCACAAAGTCCGTGTATACACTTAATTATCACGTTTCCGAATAAACATTGAAAAACGCTGGTGGAATTTGACGAAATACTTTCAAATGGTTTTCTTTTCATCTTCAGGTGTTTTATAGTTGGTGTTAAGTTGGATATAGTGGGTGTATAGTTGGAGTCCCAAGGCTCTGTAGCTCGCCTGAACTGATCGCAAGACTGATCAAATGTACGTTGTGTTTTAGTTTAATCCCAGCAACTATTTTTTTTCATTTCACATTTTCAATTATAGCCCATTCATCTCCAAACGAAAACAACGAATTTCAAAATTGCTCAAAACCGGGAATAGTTAATAAAACATCACAGCAATTAATTCCCTGTACCCAACAATATCCTATTAAACAAGTAGCCGCTTTACTCCCACGCATGTTTAGGCGTCGTCAATTCACAAATTAACCTACCTCTTCTTTAAAATATGATTGTTAAAAGTTTAAGGCTATAAACCAGTAGTCCCTGACCACGTGGACTTGTATGGTTTATGTAAAACCGTGGTTACCGAGGCTGAATAAAAAAAAAAAATAAATAAATAAAACAAATACCTACCTCTTCACTATTTATCCTCACCTTGTTGTCCTCCTTTTAACTTCGGGGATCAATTTCGCATTCCCAGTAATATTACACTATTTTAATATCTGTTAGTAATTTATTATTTAATTTTAACTTTTGTCTCTAAATGCAATATAGTGTCTCATAGGCCGTATTGGCCGGATGTTGTACTCAATTGTATGTCTATATTTTATGATGAATTTTATTAAGTACAATTTGTGACACTTTATTAAACAATTTTCTTCTCTTTTCTTCTTCTCTGAGATGTATTATTTGTATATCCATCACTGTAAAACAACTGTATCAAGCTAATTGTCATTTGGCATTTAGGCTGTCTTGGTGGCCATGCCTAAATGTAGATACGACCATTAGTGAGATTTTATACATAAACTGACAGGTGTCCAAAATACAGTACAACTAGATAATCGGGGATACACGAAGGCAAAATGGAAAGTAAGATAGTCAACTCCCAAACTCCCCAACCTAACCATTTACTTACATTATGGATATGTTACTATGGCGTTCGGTCGGTCATGGAATACAAAGACCTCTTACTCGGGACATATGCAATTTTAGATATGCATGTGCGTGCGTGTGTAAAGGTGAGAGGCTGGCGGAGGGGAGTGTATTATTGCATCGTTAAAATAACCCCATAAACTCCCAGGTTATTTATAAGTTAAACACATCCTTTTAACCATAACAATCTTGTATCTTTCAACTAAAATTACTTACCGTTTTACTGTTTAATTTTTTAAATAAATAATTCTAATGGTAAAGCAAATACAACGATATGTTTTTTACTCACTCACTATACCTTACTTCTGTCTTTATTGGTTAATTGCAGCGCGACCGCTACACGGGTAATAACCCAGTTCTGAGCTGCTCCGAACAGCGCAGATACAGTTATGTCCTGTCATCGAGCATAGGTTGTCACATGATCTGAAAATGGCCACCGCCTACGAATGGTTGGTAATTTTGTAAATATTTTTATATCTATTTAGTGTTATTTATGATAGATATTCTGAAGCCTCGATTCATATGGGTGTTTTACAGTCGCCGATTAATACAGAAACGTTAAATACACCCTGCGTGCAATTTATGCAAAACAGAATATCGATGTTATCATAAAATCATCATCAAGCCTGCAATATTCGATCCAAAGTAAACCAAAGTCTTCGAGTGTTAATGATGTTATTCATCTGAGACACAATAGGCGTGTTATTGGCAATAAACATTAAGATGGATGTATTATTGTTCCGGTTCAACTCTGTTCTCGACATGTGTCTCATTTTAAGACAATTAAGTATTGCCAACATATATCCCAGATTTATGTGTACAATGAGGATGTGTGTGTGTGTGTGTGTGTGTATGTGTATGGGTGGGGGTGGGGGTGGGGCGCGTTGTGTGTGTGTGGACAACTTATCCCTACAACCAGAAAGGTGTAGGGTCATCTTGGAGCTTTAGCACTATAACCCTCTCAGTAGATTTCACGAGTACATGCAGAGACCCACATGCACACGTACATCACTATATATAGTACAATAATGATGAACACAATGTTTCACTTCACCTTACTTCACCTTAAAGTAATAATACAGAGTAGGCCTACATACAGTACACATGGTAAGGGTGAGTGTTGAGACTCTCTTTGATGTTGTGATAGCATTGTAGTATCACCCCAGTACAATAGTATTGCAATAGTTGTCTATTATTGCAATGGCATGACAATATTATTAAATCAATTTTGGTGTAACAGATATATTATTCAGCTTAATAGGAAAGAATAAATTATGTTTTCAATAATGACATGTTTGGCCATATGCCTGAATGTCGCTACTCAAACCAAACGGAAGTGACTACTCTGAACTGTCCTAATCCTTGCTCATGAACATGGCAGGTGTGAAACTTGTTTGTAAAACATATTTTGAAGCAAAATCTTTGTTTCATTTATATCTAACTGCATCCGTTGAAACTATCTCTTGTTGTGCATACTATTGACATGTCATATGCTTGATATGCTATAGAAATTCAATTTCATGCCATCTTAATCGCACTAAAGAAAAAGTGCATTGGCTTGAGACATCAAAGAATTCCTTGTAATAGGTAGTGACTCAACTGACAATGTTTTCCATGCAGGCAGCCCCGAATACGGGACTATGAGGTAGAACGCCGGGAAGAACAGAGTCCCAGGGAAGAAGCTGTGTCACATCCTCTCAAGGCAGTCACTGTATGTATTCAGATGGGGATCAGAGGCTTTCATTCAGTAGGAAGTAAGATGTATGGCCATCAGTCATTAATCAGAAAGATTTGGGCCTTTTGTCGATGGACAGTAAGAATCAGTAGGCAGTACTATTTTGGGCCTTCTGTCAGTATTGAAGTTCTGTAAATCTGTAAAATAGACCCAAATTGTTCTGAAGTTTAAATCAGTCAGTAAGTGGCAGAATAACTCAGTGTTTATTATGTAAACTTATTTTCTTTCATCATGGACAATATGTTTTATCAGACAGTTTGGACCAATAAATATCATTGAAAAAACAAAATGTTCTCTTGTTTAGCTTCCACTGAGCAACACATGGACCAGTGAATGTTTTAGTTAAGTGTCTATATGATTTGTTTGTTTTTTTATGCAAGAGTCAGCAGTATTCTCACAGTCATGGCAGCTTGTAAATAATCAACTCTGCTCCAGAAATTAGCATCAGTTGGCAGGTTTTTCAGCATACGATTCCATTATGTCACAGTTGACAGTCAACCTGCCACATTCAAATAGTTCTACAAAGACATAAATCTGGTATTGATGCAACTTAACATTGATAATGAAATTTAATTCTGATTCACAAATTTTTACTTACCTCTGCTGCAGACTTGGGACCAGTATCAGCCTCTGGGTTGAGATAGATCCCTGAGTGTGCAATCACAAAGAAACATAAAGGAGTAAACAGTACTCTGTTCTTCTTATTCATCTATTGATATCATTTATTCATCAAGGTTACCCATGTGTCAAAGGCTGAGAAGAGAGGAGCATCAGGCAGCAAGTCAAAGAGCAATGCATCATCTGAGTTTGTTGACCCCCTGAGTGCAGGACCTCTGGGGGTGGCCTTCGATGGCACAGACCCCCTCTCACAGCTTGCAGCCACTGTGGATGTGAAGCCAGCTAGGAGTCGCAGCTTCCAGGTAAGTGGAAGATGGTGACATTTTGGGGGTGGGGTTGGTCTGAGGAATGTGTCGTAATTTGCTGACAACCCCCACCACCCACTCATTTTCTGTAACATGTTATCATCCATACCCTGAACATGTAATATGAAATGAGTGTTGTGGGGAATAGGGGAGTGTAGAATACCAAGTAGATGAGTCCCCCATAAGTTACTGGGTGGGACTCAGCTACAAGAGACTCAGTCAGTGGAATGGTCAGGCACAGTGACATCGTTGGTTATGTGTCATAGTACCCGAAAGTTGGGAATTGTTGCTCAGAATGTCAACCACAAGTATGTATGGCTCAGACACGATCAGTTACAGGCTATTGTCCTTTAGCTTAGTGAGTCAGTGTTAGACAAGAAATGAAACATGAGGTGTATCGGTCAGTGTACTACAGTAAAATATGATTTCAGGAGAAGGAGGAAGCGCAGGAGTTGGACGAGACATTTGAACCATGGTCAGCCAAGAAGGGGAGCATTCTGGCCAAGTTCACCACGTCAGAAAAACTGTCCATCACAACCAGCTTCCTCTCTGCTTCTGACAAAGAGAGAGGTGAGATTAGATATATTAAGTGTTAACACATTGAAACGGGACTTAAGAGGGAGGAATTGTTTCTCAGGCATCACATTAAGTCTTGTGCTTCATTCATTAGTATTTCCTGTAAAACTAATATTGTATGCTTCCTATGTCATATGAAGAAAACCATGCTTCCACACAGACATTGTAATACAGAGCCGAGTTCAGTATATCCCCTGTTTATTGCTTTATTTAATGAAAATATATGCTCAACACCTTTTGGGTTCAATGCATCCATGTTCACTTTGGAAACAAATGTGTGTGGAGATGGAGGTGAGGTAAGGGTTTAGGGGTGATGAATGTACTGATTGCATAATATACATGATATATATGTGTTTAGTTGTAATGAAGGTCCCAGTTGTGAGTGAGTGAGTGAGTTTAGTTTTACGCCACACTCAGCAATATTCCAGCTATATGGCGGCGGTCTGTAAATAATTGAGTCTGGACCAGACAATCCAGTGATCAACAGCATGAGCATCAATCTGCGCAATTGGCAACCGATGACATGTGTCAACCAAGTCAGCGAGCCTGACCACCCGATCCCGTTAGTCGCCTCTTACGACAAGCATAGTCGCCTTTTGTAGCAAGCATGGGTTGCTGAAGACCTATTCTACCGCTGATCTTCACGGGCCCCCCGATGGTGAGATGTACACGCTATATATATGTCTTTAGTAGTGATGGAGGCCCAGACTGTGTGATATACATGATATATATATGTTTAGTTGCGATGAAAGCCCAGACTGTGCGATATACATGAGATATATATGTGTTTAGTGGTGATGAAGGCTCAGGCTGTGTGATATACACAATATATATGTGTTTAATGGTGATGAAGGCAGAGTCTGTTATATACACGATATATCTGTGTTTAGTGGTGATGAAGGCCCAGACTACCACTGTCAGCGACAAGGTGAAGAACAGACTGGAACAGCTGGATGACTTTGAGGAGGTAAGCATACAAGTCTTACTATCTGATCATGAGATATTTTAACACTTACTCAAAAGTTGGCTTCTGTGAAAAAAGTCAGAAATGAGATTGTAATTTGACCAAGTACAGTGTCATGCTGTTTGTTTCACAGGGCTCTGTGCAGGAGATGCTCAACTTGAGTCAACAAGATTATGTCAAGAGAATTGATGAGCTAAACCAGGCTCTCATCAATGCCTGGGACCAGGACCAGAGAGTCAAGGCTCTGAAGATAGCCATACAGGTAGGTCATCAGAGAGTCAAGGCACTGAAGATAGCCATACAGGTAGGTCATCAGAGAGTCAAGGCACTGAAGATAGCCATACAGGTCATCAGGTCAAGGCACTGAGAGGTCATCAGGCAAGGCTGAAGATAGCCATACAGGTA